CAGACCTCAACGAAGATTTTTTACATTAACAATAACATTTGTTCTGCACTCCTTATAAATATAATGTCAGCTAGTTATAAAAAAATCATTAAACTCTTTTACATTTAATTATTATACATTGATGACAGGTCTTTTGCTAATATAAAAAATATTTTACTGATAATGGTGTTACAGGCTCATATTAAAGCTGCTGTTTGTTATTATTAGTCTCCACACTACACACTTTATGCATTAGTCTCAAACACGTCATTTATCTACCAGAAACAATATATGGAGAGTTTAAGGATTTCAGATATTTTTTCATTTGTTATACGTTGGTTTGGCTTTTTATGCAGCGTGAGTTTAGATTTATCTCTAAATGGATAAATTTTTCCTCAGTCTAAGTGGCAATTCTCTAGTGTATCCCTGTCTTCGTCCACACACTTTACACTTTACTTCATCTAGATCCTTATACAAGCCCAACTGCCAGAGATACTTGTAGCCAAGTCTTATTGGAGCTGTGACAACATCTGTTAGTCTACTGACTTTGTTACTTGCCCCATACACATGTTTTACTTCACACATTTCATTGTGATAAACAATGGACCTACTAGTTCCAGTTTGCACTGTTCTACTTTCTTCAAATCCATCCAGGAGTTCTGGTCTAATAACACTTTTAAGGGACCTATTTGATAACTCAAGATTCCGTTCAACACTCTTTATTTACTGCAGCCTTAGCAAGGGCGTCAACTTTATCATGCTCCTGCAGTCCAATTAGCTTTCTCCCCCGACCCCTGCATATACTTATTTTGTTTTATTATTTCTGGCAATCTCTTCTCACACTATGAGAAATGTGAGAAGAGTAATCTCTTCTCACACAATACTACTCACTAATCTATCCATTATTCTATCCCTATCTAACATATGGTATCTGTGGATGGGGTTCAACCACAGCAAAGTACTTCAATCCCATCATCCTTCAAATCATGTATCAGAACTATTACAAACTATCTTCAGACAACACACAGCTCTGTGTGTTTTAACCTCTGTTTAGACAAATTGAAAACCTCTTTTAGGGTTTGAAACCTCTGTTTAAATCCCTAAACATGCTCAACATACACTCACTCCGCACATTCTCTTGTGCTATTTACACTTACAAAACCATGTTTTTACATTCTAATCCTATTTTGAAACTCTTCGTAAATTGCTGTAATAGAACCCACGACCATCACACCAGAAATAAATATTTCTGATATTCCCAGAGTCATACTAAATATATGCAAACACTCCATTCAAATATAATAATATTGAAATCACCGCGAAGTAAATTAAAAAAAAATTAAACTATACTTTATTCATAAATAGAACACAGTAGTATCTAATTTCAGCTCCATTATCCCACATTGTGCTGCTAGCTCACAGTACCTTGTGCTGCTAGCCCACAGTACCTTGTGCTGCTAGCTCACAGTATCTTGTGCTGCTAGCTCACAGTATCTTGTGCTGCTAGCCCACAGTATCTTGTGCTGCTAGCTCACAGTATCTTGTGCTGCTAGCTCACAGTATCTTGTGCTGCTAGCTCACAGTATCTTGTGCTGCTAGCTCACAGTATCTTGTGCTGCTAGCTCACAGTATCTTGTGCTGCTAGCTCACAGTATCTTGTGCTGCTAGCTCACAGTATCTTGTGCTGCTAGCTCACAGTATCTTGTGCTGCTAGCTCACAGTATCTTGTGCTGCTAGCTCACAGTATCTTGTGCTGCTAGCCCACAGTATCTTGTGCTGCTAGCTCACAGTATCTTGTGCTGCTAGCTCACAGTATCTTGTGCTGCTAGCTCACAGTACCTTGTGCTGCTAGCTCACAGTACCTTGTGCTGCTAGCTCACAGTACCTTGTGCTGCTAGCTCACAGTACCTTGTGCTGCTAGCTCACAGTACCTTGTGCTGCTAGCCCACAGTACCTTGTGCTGCTAGCTCACAGTATCTTGTGCTGCTAGCTCACAGTACCTTGTGCTGCTAGCTCACAGTACCTTGTGCTGCTAGCTCACAGTACCTTGTGCTGCTAGCTCACAGTATCTTGTGCTGCTAGCTCACAGTATCTTGTGCTGCTAGCTCACAGTATCTTGTGCTGCTAGCTCACAGTATCTTGTGCTGCTAGCTCACAGTATCTTGTGCTGCTAGCTCACAGTACCTTGTGCTGCTAGCTCACAGTACCTTGTGCTGCTAGCTCACAGTACCTTGTGCTGCTAGCTCACAGTATCTTGTGCTGCTAGCTCACAGTACCTTGTGCTGCTAGCTTACAGTACCTTGTGCTGCTAGCTCACAGTATCTTGTGCTGCTAGCTCACAGTATCTTGTGCTGCTAGCTCACAGTACCTTGTGCTGCTAGCTCACAGTACCTTGTGCTGCTAGCTCACAGTATCTTGTGCTGCTAGCTCACAGTACCTTGTGCTGCTAGCTCACAGTACCTTGTGCTGCTAGCTCACAGTATCTTGTGCTGCTAGCTCACAGTACCTTGTGCTGCTAGCTCACAGTACCTTGTGCTGCTAGCTCACAGTATCTTGTGCTGCTAGCTCACAGTACCTTGTGCTGCTAGCTCACAGTATCTTGTGCTGCTAGCTCACAGTACCTTGTGCTGCTAGCTCACAGTATCTTGTGCTGCTAGCTCACAGTATCTTGTGCTGCTAGCTCACAGTACCTTGTGCTGCTAGCTCACAGTACCTTGTGCTGCTAGCTCACAGTACCTTGTGCTGCTAGCTCACAGTACCTTGTGCTGCTAGCTCACAGTACCTTGTGCTGCTAGCTCACAGTATCTTGTGCTGCTAGCTCACAGTACCTTGTGCTGCTAGCTCTCAGTATCTTGTGCTGCTAGCTCACAGTATCTTGTGCTGCTAGCTCACAGTACCTTGTGCTGCTAGCTCACAGTACCTTGTGCTGCTAGCTCACAGTACCTTGTGCTGCTAGCTCACAGTACCTTGTGCTGCTAGCTCACAGTACCTTGTGCTGCTAGCTCACAGTACCTTGTGCTGCTAGCTCACAGCACCTTGTGCTGCTAGCTCACAGCACCTTGTGCTGCTAGCTCACAGTACCTTGTGCTGCTAGCTCACAGTACCTTGTGCTGCTAGCTCACAGTACCTTGTGCTGCTAGCTCACAGTACTTTGTGCTGCTAGCTCACAGTACCTTGTGCTGCTAGCTCACAGTACCTTGTGCTGCTAGCTCACAGTACCTTGTGCTGCTAGCTCACAGTACCTTGTGCTGCTAGCTCACAGTACCTTGTGCTGCTAGCTCACAGTACCTTGTGCTGCTAGCTCACAGTACCTTGTGCTGCTAGCTCACAGTACCTTGTGCTGCTAGCTCACAGTACCTTGTGCTGCTAGCTCACAGTACCTTGTGCTGCTAGCTCACAGTACCTTGTGCTGCTAGATCACAGTACCTTGTGCTGCTAGCTCACAGTACCTTGTGCTGCTAGCTCACAGTATCTTGTGCTGCTAGCTCACAGTATCTTGTGCTGCTAGCTCACAGTATCTTGTGCTGCTAGCTCACAGTATCTTGTGCTGCTAGCTCACAGTACCTTGTGCTGCTAGCTCACAGTACCTTGTGCTGCTAGCTCACAGTACCTTGTGCTGCTAGCTCACAGTACCTTGTGCTGCTAGCTCACAGTACCTTGTGCTGCTAGCTCACAGTACCTTGTGCTGCTAGCTCACAGTACCTTGTGCTGCTAGCTCACAGTACCTTGTGCTGCTAGCTCACAGTATCTTGTGCTTCAGCTCACAATATCTTGTGCTTCAACTCACAATATCTTGTGCTTCAGCTCACAATATCTTGTGCTACTAACTCACAATATCTTGTGCTTCAGCTCACAATATATTGTGCTACTAACTCACAATATCTTGTGCTACTAACTCACAGTATCTTGTGCTTCAGCTCACAATATCTTGTGCTTCAGCTCACAATATCTTGTGCTACTAACTCACAATATCTTGTGCTACTAACTCACAATATCTTGTGCTACTAACTCACAGTATCTTGTGCTTCAGCTCACAATATCTTGTGCTTCAACTCACAACATCTTGTGCTTCAGCTCACAACATTTTGTGCTACTAACTCACAGTCTTCTACTGCTAACTCACCTAGCATTTTACAATGTAGAAATAAAGTAACAAAGAGTAAGTTAACAATGTGTAAATTTTACATTGGATGAATTTAACATTGGACTTAGAGCCACATGTTAAGTGGCTCCAAGAAGAATAATTTCGTTGTTGCATTTAATTAAAATATATCTTAAAGACGACGCTGGGACTATTTATAAAATGATCGTTACTGGAAAAAACAAAATTTTATTGGTACTGAACACAGGCCCGGATTGCCCAGTAGAGCAAATAGGTTATGGCCTAGGGCCTACCAGAACCAGGTAGGGCCTACCAGACCAGGTGGGGCCTACCAGAACCAGGTAGGGCCTACCAGACCAGGTGGGGCCTACCAGAACCAGGTAGGGCCTACCAGAACCAGGTAGGGCCTACCAGACCAGGTGGGGCCTACCAGACCAGGTAGGGCCTACCAGACCAGGTGGGGCCTACCAGAACTAGAGGGGCCCACCAGCATTGTTTATACTTACAAGTATAGGAATATATCCTCAATGTATTCCTCTGCGAACCGATGCATAATATAACTGTGATCATTAATCATTACATATTATTATGATATGAGCTCTCCCCATGTATGTATTTGGCCTTTGAATTGCCACACTGACCAGAGGGTGGGGCCCAATGACTAGATTTGGTCCAGGGTCCAAACACAGTTAGGTCCGCCACTGACTACAACTATAACTGATTGGCAGAAATAATGATTTGTGATAATGATATATCCCATTTTAAAGGAAATTGATCTGTATTGTATGTTAAACATCAGAATATTGAATTTTATATGAATGAGCAGCTTATAGCTAGTGTAAGTTCTGTGTATTTTATTGATTGCAAAATTCCATTTTTTGCAACCCTCCCTCTTTATACAAGCGATTGTTCATTGCAGGAAATAATAATCTCGCAAGAATGCTGAAATGGCTCTGCTGTGGGAAATTCAAAGGTTCGCGTGACTCTAGGAAGTCGACCAGTGAAGAGGTCTTTAGTGAAGCAGAGTCAGATGAAGAGATATCCAGTGAAGTGGGCTGGCTACCAAGACACGAGTCAGTCGAGGCCAGAGATGATGCAGAGTCTTGCACGGTCTCTCACGCTCGGGTTCCCGCCAAGAATTCACTGGAAGAACCAAAGAAAGAGACACCAGGAGAGATCACTAAACTTCCACAGCTGCAACATTTACATCAACCCATGCCAGATGTGCTACTCAGTTCATCAGGAACAGTCAGTCATTTGAAGAGCTTTAACAATGTCGAAAACGTTAAAGATAATCAGGGTAAGAATGATGGTATGTCATTTGAAGAGCCGTCAGATGTATCGCATTCTAAGGAGAGAACGCCTAAGGACGCCAGTAATGTTTACACTTGCCGGGTGGAGGCAAGACCTCGACCACCTGGACCTGACCTCCGGACGCCGAGGCAAAACTGGATGACACTTAACGATGGAGATAAACCAATTTCTGAGGAAGTGAAGTGCATGAAGAAAAGAACCTGCCCAACAGTTGATAACTCGGAGGAACATAAGGCTCACGTTCAGGTACATTGTCAGCAAGAACTGAACTTTACTAAACGTACTCCTGTAGATTTATGGCCCAAGAATTGTATCCCCAACGTAAGTGAACAGGTGAATGAAATAGAAATAAAAAATGAACTGAATGGAGGCAAGAAGCAAGTGGATTCATTGTGTAACCAGAGTCCTTGCGTGAAGGATCATAGTGCTACACACCTGCAGAGTCCTTGCGTGAAGGATCATAGTGCTACACACCTGCAGAGTCCTTGCGTGAAGGATCATAGTGCTACACACCTGCAGAGTCCTTGCGTGAAGGATCATAGTGCTACACACCTGCAGAGTCCTCGCGTGAAGGATCATAGTGCTACACACCTGCAGAGTCCTCGCGTGACGGACCATAGTGCTACACACCCGTCAAGCTGGCCATCTAGAGAGTCTTGTAAACAAGACAGTAAGTACGAAATATCTTCAACTCCTGAATCTCATCTCATTTGCCCTAAGTTATTCTGTTTATACAATCAAAGAGGCCAGTTATGTAATATGTTCGGTAAACAGTACATATCGACGTATGCAGAGAGAATACCTGGTGTGCGAGTACCAGAACTCATAAGAGCCGAGTGTAGGCTTGTGTGGAGGGGTAGCGTGCCTCTGCCACTCTCTGACCTCCCCGACCAAACTCCTGTACGTTTTGACGCAGTTGAGTTGCCAAATGTGAAGACATTCCAGGCCATAGCTATCTGGCAGAACACGAAACCGAACTTAATTACTGAACCGCATGAGGAATCCTATGTATTTATTGACAGTCGTGCACTTCCTGTAATACGTTTTGTTTTTGAAAATAACATTAACTATGTAAAAGTTAATTATGATAATAAACTAGTAAAATCCGAGTTTACAAATGATGTAATTTTCATAGATGAGAATACAGCAGACACGTCAGATTTGGTATTGTTGGCATCCTTGCAACCAGGTAGGGTGTTTGCCAGAGTCTGCAAGATGGTACGAGGCGACGCTTCAGGTACTCTAACATACACGTGCAAGTGTGTTTGGTTCGGTAAAGCACCAAAAGCAGATCTCTTGCCCATGGACTTCAAGAGAGGGGAAGTATACAAGAGGGAGCCAAGTGGACTGTACATTCGAGAGAATGTATTTCAGCGTCTGTGGTGTGATGTTCCCGCCACGCTGAAGGCTGGGGAGCACGACTGTTGCCTCGTGTGTTCTGTAGAGAAAACGAATTTATCTCTTCCAGTGTCTAAGGAGGTGTTCTTTGTACAAAACGACAGGATAACTTTGGTTCCTCCATTTATCTTTTCGGTAAAGGCACACATACTGGAACATGTAAAACAAATAGGAAAGCCTGGGTGGGAAATCCTGATGGTTCAGCTACCTAAGAATTATCACGATATTGAAGCGAACTTGGCTTGTGCTCTGGCAACTTTACCACCCACACCGTCGCAAGAAACCCACTCAACAAATAGTAAATTACTCCTTCAGGAAAGAAATATTGAGAGTCAAAGAGTCCCTCCAAAGTCCACATCTCTTCATTCAATTCGAAGTCTTCAGGAAGACGACGACGCGGGTACTGCAAGTGAACGCCAGGTACAGGCTGGAGGCCAACTTTCCCCCGTCCCACAACTACTTATGGGTGGCGACTCATCCGATAAATCTCTTTATGATATTTCCAGTACTGGACCTAATTCTGTGGTACGAGTTGAAGATTGTATCTGGCACTTTGGTAGTATTTCTAATGGAGTTGTTACACATTTTAACAAAACTATTCTAGTAAATCATGATAAGTTCTTTGTGAACGGTGTGAGAACACTTCCAAACGATCCGCTAGCTAAATACTCCTCAAAATCTGTACAAGTGAATGCATTCGTCCAGCCACTTCTCCATCCGGTGGAAGTCTTAGGACGTGTTGTGACACACAAAGCTTTAGTGGCATGGCAAGGTGATACGCAGCTGGAAGCAGAGACACTCCTGAAAGTCCAATCTGACACAAGGTTCCCAAAATGGAGACACAACTATGATAACACACCTATAACCAAAGATATACATGTTCAGCCAAACAGACATTTCCTAAATGCTGGAGATGCAAAGTGTTCCAAAACAGAGAAATCCAGAGGATTTATGGACAATATACAACCTCTTATAAGATGTGTATCTTATGTAGGCGCTTGTACATGGAAACGCGCGAGCATATCTCTTGGTATCGTCACAAATAGGACTAATGTTATTGTTGTCAAGCATGACACCTTTTTTGTTGATCGGGTAAGAGTTCCAACGACTGATCCTTTGGTGAAGTTCTGCGATGGGCGCAAGTTTGTGAATGTTGAGGCAGCAGTATTATACCCATCTCGCACTGTGCTGGGCCACACAGCAACCCACCAGGCTGTTGTGGCCTGGCATGGCAGGAAACCTCCTGAAGCTCAAACTATTGTCACCAATTATCTTAAACGAAATCCTTCTAAAATTCGAGGTTGCAATATCAGAGTAAATGTTACCGGATCTTGCAAGAGTTTTCTTATGGGAGACGAAGCAAAGGACTCGAAGCCTGTGCATCCGGAAGGCATACTGCCAAAGGAAAGATTCAGAGGTCGTTTTATTCGAGATGCAACGGGAAAATTAACTGAAATTAAAAATGACTTCGGCATTCTCAAAGTCAGTCTCAATTTTGGCGAAGATAAAGTGCTGGTTTATTTTCATAGATCAGTAGTTTACATACATAAAAATAAATGCCGGGATGACAAACCATTGTATCAACAGATGAACATGTCTAATCCTAAGCAGTGGCACTGTTCGATGCAAGAATATTATGCAGTAGTTGGCGAAACAAGCGTACAGTATAAAGCTACGTTGGTATGGGGAGGTAAGAAACCAACAGAAGAGGACATCCAGGTACAAACCCTCATGAGGGTCTCGCCTGCTGATCTCCAGAGAGCTATGGTAGACACCTTGGACGACACACCGTCCTCCTCCCTGCCTGCAAGTGCAAGAACCAGCGGGGACTTTAGCCCTAGCAACACGAGCCCTAGCAACACGAGCCCTAGCAACACGAGCCCTAGCAACACGAGCCCTAGCAACACGAGCCCTAGCAACAAGAGCCCTAGCAACAAGAGCCCTAGCAACAAGAGCCCTAGCAACAAGAGCCCTAGCAACAAGAGCCCTAACAATAAGAATCCTGTCAACAAGAGTCCTACCAACACGAGCGAGCCCTTAAAGAACCCCCAGACTACCTCCACCGCTGGGGCCGGCCACACTGCCTCTACTCCTCTTAACGAAACTGAAGACGATGCGGTAAGTAATCACTGGATTGAATTAATTAAGTCTCATATTCAGGTATTTTACCACATTGTCCTACTAGGTTTTAGTTCGTTGACCAATGGGTTTCCAGGTCATAAGTCTTTGCATATAAAAAAAAAGGTTGTATAAGCTTTAAAATCTTAAGTTTTCCTTTTGCTTACAAAATGACCCACTCGGCTGACAATCAGTTGAAGGTGATCTTGAGTTCTTAGGATGATTTTTCCAATATGTTCTATTACACGTTGGAATGTATTCAAGCAAGGATTTCTAATTTGTCTTCGTTCCTCTTGTAGTTTCTCCTCTTAACTATCTCTGTATTCAATTGGTTCCTCCTTAAAAAAAAAGTTAGTATTTATAGCTGGTTTGGTATTAGTGGCTTTCTGGTGATCTCTGAACTAAATATGATAAAATGATTTTTTTTAAGATGCAACAGTCTGTGTGTGTGTGTGTGTGCGTTTAACCAATAGATGCTTTAACTTATATTTCGTTTGAGGATGGATAGTTGTACTGCTTTTTTTCTCTCTCCCTCCTTCTCTCTGTCTTTCTCTCCTATCTCCTTATCTTTCTCTCCTCTCCCTATCTTTTTATCTTTCTCTCCCCTCCCTATTTATCTATCTTTCTCTCCCCCTCCCCATGTCTCTTTCTCAACTTGTCTGTTTCTCTCTATCTTTCTCCTTCTCTATAACTTTTTCTCATTCTATCTTTCTCTCCCTAGCCCTTTATCTTGCTCTCTTTCCCTCTGTCTTTCGCTTCTCTTCCTCTATGTTTCTCTCCTTCCCTCCCTCTCTCTCTATGTTTATCTCCTTCTCTCCCTCTCCCTATGTTTCTTTTCTTCCCTCCCTCTCTTTCACTATCTTTCTCTCGGTAAAGTGGTGATTGAAATGCACGGTGGGATTGGGGAGGTGAGAGGGGTGGTGTGAGGGGTGGTGTGAGGGGAGGTGAGAGGGGTGGTGTGAGGGGTGGTGTGAGGGGAGGTGCGAGGGGAGGTGAGAGGGGTGGTGTGAGGGGTGGTGTGAGGGGAGGTGAGAGGGGTGGTGTGAGGGGTGGTGTGAGGGGTGGTGTGAGGGGTGGTGTGAGGGGTGGTGTGAGGGGTAGTGTGAGGGGTGGTGTGAGGGGAGGTGCGAGGGGTAGTGTGAGGGGTGGTGTGAGGGGAGGTGCGAGGGGAGGTGAGAGGGGTGGTGTGAGGGGAGGTGAGAGGGGTGGTGTGAGGGGTGGTGTGAGGGGTGGTGTGAGGGGAGGTGAGAGGGGTAGTGTGAGGGGTAGTGTGAGGGGTGGTGTGAGGGGTGGTGTGAGGGGAGGTGCGAGGGGAGGTGAGAGGGGTGGTGTGAGGGGTGGTGTGAGGGGAGGTGAGAGGGGTGGTGTGAGGGGAGGTGCGAGGGGAGGTGAGAGGGGTGGAGTGAGGGGTGGTGTGAGGGGAGGTGAGAGGGGTGGTGTGAGGGGTGGTGTGAGGGGTGGTGTGAGGGGTAGTGTGAGGGGTGGTGTGAGGGGAGGTGCGAGGGGTAGTGTGAGGGGTGGTGTGAGGGGAGGTGCGAGGGGAGGTGAGAGGGGTGTTGTGAGGGGTGGTGTGAGGGGAGGTGAGAGGGGTGGTGTGAGGGGTGGTGTGAGGGGTGGTGTGAGGGGTGGTGTGAGGGGTGGTGTGAGGGGTGGTGTGAGGGGAGGTGCGAGGGGAGGTGAGAGGGGTGGTGTGAGGGGTGGTGTGAGGGGAGGTGAGAGGGGTGGTGTGAGGGGTGGTGTGAGGGGTGGTGTGAGGGGTGGTGTGAGGGGAGGTGCGAGGGGTGGTGAGAGGGGTGGTGTGAGGGGTGGTGTGAGGGGAGGTGAGAGGGGTGGTGTGAGGGGTGGTGTGAGGGGAGGTGCGAGGGGAGGTGAGAGGGGTGGTGTGAGGGGTGGTGTGAGGGGAGGTGAGAGGGGTGGTGTGAGGGGTGGTGTGAGGGGTGGTGTGAGGGGTGGTGTGAGGGGTAGTGTGAGGGGTGGTGTGAGGGGAGGTGCGAGGGGTAGTGTGAGGGGTGGTGTGAGGGGAGGTGCGAGGGGAGGTGAGAGGGGTGGTGTGAGGGGTGGTGTGAGGGGAGGTGAGAGGGGTGGTGCGTGGGGTGGTGTGAGGGGTGGTGTGAGGGGTGGTGAGTGGGGTGGTGTGAGGGGTGGTGTGAGGGGTGGTGTGAGGGGAGGTGCGAGGGGAGGTGAGAGGGGTGGTGTGAGGGGTGGTGTGAGGGGAGGTGAGAGGGGTGGTGTGAGGGGTGGTGTGAGGGGTGGTGTGAGGGGTGGTGTGAGGGGTGGTGTGAGGGGAGGTGCGAGGGGTGGTGTGAGGGGTAGTGTGAGGGGTGGTGTGAGGGGAGGTGAGAGGGGTGGTGTGAGGGGTGGTATGAGGGGTGGTGTGAGGGGTGGTGTGAGGGGTGGTGTGAGGGGTGGTGTGAGGGGTAGTGTGAGGGGTGGTGTGAGGGGAGGTGCGAGGGGTGGTGTGAGGGGAGGTGCGAGGGGAGGTGAGAGGGGTGGTGTGAGGGGTGGTGTGAGGGGAGGTGCGAGGGGAGGTGAGAGGGGTGGTGTGAGGGGTGGTGTGAGGGGAGGTGAGAGGGGTGGTGTGAGGGGTGGTGTGAGGGGTGGTGTGAGGGGTGGTGTGAGGGGAGGTGAGAGGGGTAGTGTGAGGGGTGGTGTGAGGGGAGGTGAGAGGGGTGGTGTGAGGGGTGGTGAGAGGGGTGGTGTGAGGGGTGGTGTGAGGGGAGGTGAGAGGGGTGGTGTGAGGGGTGGTGTGAGGGGAGGTGAGAGAGGAGGTGTGAGGGGAGGTGAGAAGGGTGGTGTGAGGGGGTGGTGTGAGGGGAGGTGAGAGGGGTGGTGTGAGGGGTGGTGTGAGAGAGGTGGTGTGAGGGGAGGTGTGAGGGGAGGTGTGAGGGGTGGTGTGAGGGGAGGTGTGAGGGGAGGTGAGAGGGGTGGTGTGAGGGGTGGTGTGAGAGGGGTGGTGTGAGGGGAGGTGTGAGGGGTGGTGTGAGAGAGGTGGTGTGAGGGGAGGTGTGAGGGGAGGTGTGAGGGGTGGTGTGAGGGGAGGTGTGAGGGGAGGTGAGAGGGGAGGTGAGAGGGGTGGTGTGAGGGGTGGTGTGAGAGGGGTGGTGTGAGGGGAGGTGTGAGGGGTGGTGTGAGGGGTGGTGTGAGAGAGGTGGTGTGAGGGGAGGTGTGAGGGGTGGTGTGAGGGGAGGTGAGAGGGGAGGTGAGAGGGGTGGTGTGAGGGGTGGTGTGAGAGGGGTGGTGTGAGGGGAGGTGTGAGGGGTGGTGTGAGGGGTGGTGTGAGGGGAGGTGAGAGGGGAGGTGAGAGGGGTGGTGTGAGGGGTGGTGTGAGAGGGGTGGTGTGAGGGGAGGTGTGAGGGGTGGTGTGAGGGGTGGTGTGAGGGGAGGTGAGAGGGGTGGTGTGAGGGGTGGTGTGAGAGAGGTGGTGTGAGGGGAGGTGTGAGGGGTGGTGTGAGGGGAGGTGTGAGGGGTGGTGTGAGGGGAGGTGTGAGGGGAGGTGTGAGGGGTGGTGTGAGGGGGTGGTGTGAGGGGGTGGTGTGAGGGGAGGTGAGAGGGGTGGTGAGAGGGGTGGTGTGAGGGGGTGGTGTGAGGGGCGGTGTGAGGGGAGGTGTGAGGGGTGGTGTGAGGGGTGGTGTGAGGGGGTGGTGTGAGGGGAGGTGTGAGGGGTGGTGTGAGGGGAGGTGTGAGGGGTGGTGTGAGGGGTGGTGTGAGGGGAGGTGTGAGGGGAGGTGTGAGGGGTGGTGTGAGGGGTGGTGTGAAAGGAGGTGTGAGGGGTGGTGTGAGGGGTGGTGTGAGGGGGTGGTGTGAGGGGTGGTGTGAGGGGAGGTGTGAGGGGTGGTGTGAGGGGAGGTGTGAGGGGTGGTGTGAGGGGAGGTGTGAGGGGTGGTGTGAGGGGTTGGTGTGAGGGGAGGTGTGAGGGGTGGTGTGAGGGGGTGGTGTGAGGGGTGGTGTGAGGAGAGGTGTGAGGGGGTGGTGTGAGGGGTGGTGTGAGGGGAGGTGTGAGGGGAGGTGTGAGGGGTGGTGTGAGGGGTGGTGTGAGGTGGTGGTGTGAGGGGTGGTGTGAGGGGTGGTGTGAGGGGGTGGTGTGAGGGGTGGTGTGAGGGGTGGTGTGAGGGGAGGTGTGAGCGGAGGTGTGAGGGGAGGTGTGAGGGGTGGTGTGAGGGGTGGTGTGAGGGGAGGTGTGAGGGGTGGTGAGAGGGGTGGTGTGAGGGGTGGTGTGAGGGGAGGTGAGAGGGGAGGTGTGAGGGGTGGTGTGAGGGGAGGTGTGAGGGGTGGTGTGAGGGGAGGTGTGAGGGGTGGTGTGAGGGGTGGTGTGAGGGGTGGTGTGAGGGGAGGTGTGAGGGGTGGTGTGAGGGGTGGGGAGAGGGGAGGTGAGAGGGGAGGTGTGAGGGGAGGTGAGAGGGTTGGTGTGAGGGGAGGTGAGAAGGGTGGTGTGAGGGGTGGTGTGAGGGGGTGGTGTGAGGGGAGGTGAGAGGGGTGGTGTGAGGGGTGGTGTGAGGGGTGGTGTGAGGGGAGGTGAGAGGGGAGGTGTGAGGGGTGGTGTGTGGGGAGGTGAGAGGGGTGGTGTGAGGGGTGGTGTGAATGGAGGTGTGAGGGGTGGGGAGAGGGGAGGTGTGAGGGGAGGTGAGAGGGGAGGTGTGAGGGGAGGTGAGAGGGGAGGTGTGAGGGGTGGTGTGAGGGGTGGTGTGAGGGGTGGTGTGAGGGGTGGTGTGAGGGGTAGTGTGAGGGGTGGTGTGAGGGGAGGTGCGAGGGGTAGTGTGAGGGGTGGTGTGAGGGGAGGTGCGAGGGGAGGTGAGAGGGGTGGTGTGAGGGGTGGTGTGAGGGGAGGTGAGAGGGGTGGTGTGAGGGGTAGTGAGAGGGGTGGTGTGAGGGGAGGTGAGAGGGGTGGTGTGAGGGGTGGTGTGAGGGGTGGTGTGAGGGGAGGTGCGAGGGGAGGTGAGAGGGGTGGTGTGAGGGGTGGTGTGAGGGGAGGAGAGAGGGGTGGTGTGAGGGGTGGTGTGAGGGGTGGTGTGAGGGGTGGTGTGAGGGGAGGTGCGAGGGGTGGTGTGAGGGGTAGTGTGAGGGGTGGTGTGAGGGGAGGTGCGAGGGGAGGTGAGAGGGGTGGTGTGAGGGGTGGTGTGAGGGGTGGTGTGAGGGGTGGTGTGAGGGGTGGTGTGAGGGGTGGTGTGAGGGGTAGTGTGAGGGGTGGTGTGAGGGGAGGTGCGAGGGGTAGTGTGAGGGGTGGTGTGAGGGGAGGTGCGAGGGGAGGTGAGAGGGGTGGTGTGAGGGGTGGTGTGAGGGGAGGTGCGAGGGGAGGTGAGAGGGGTGGTGTGAGGGGTGGTGTGAGGGGAGGTGAGAGGGGTGGTGTGAGGGGTGGTGTGAGGGGTGGTGTGAGGGGTGGTGTGAGGGGAGGTGAGAGGGGTAGTGTGAGGGGTGGTGTGAGGGGAGGTGAGAGGGGTGGTGTGAGGGGTGGTGAGAGGGTGGTGTGAGGGGTGGTGTGAGGGGAGGTGAGAGGGGTGGTGTGAGGGGTGGTGTGAGGGGAGGTGAGAGAGGAGGTGTGAGGGGAGGTGAGAAGGGTGGTGTGAGGGGGTGGTGTGAGGGGAGGTGAGAGGGGTGGTGTGAGGGGTGGTGTGAGAGAGGTGGTGTGAGGGGAGGTGTGAGGGGAGGTGTGAGGGGTGGTGTGAGGGGAGGTGTGAGGGGAGGTGAGAGGGGTGGTGTGAGGGGTGGTGTGAGAGGGGTGGTGTGAGGGGAGGTGTGAGGGGTGGTGTGAGAGAGGTGGTGTGAGGGGAGGTGTGAGGGGAGGTGTGAGGGGTGGTGTGAGGGGAGGTGTGAGGGGAGGTGAGAGGGGAGGTGAGAGGGGTGGTGTGAGGGGTGGTGTGAGAGGGGTGGTGTGAGGGGAGGTTTGAGGGGTGGTGTGAGGGGTGGTGTGAGAGAGGTGGTGTGAGGGGAGGTGTGAGGGGTGGTGTGAGGGGAGGTGAGAGGGGAGGTGAGAGGGGTGGTGTGAGGGGTGGTGTGAGAGGGGTGGTGTGAGGGGTGGTGTGAGGGGTGGTGTGAGGGGAGGTGAGAGGGGAGGTGAGAGGGGTGGTGTGAGGGGTGGTGTGAGAGGGGTGGTGTGAGGGGTGGTGTGAGCGGTGGTGTGAGGGGTGGTGTGAGGGGTGGTGTGAGGGGAGGTGAGAGGGGTGGTGTGAGGGGTGGTGTGAGAGAGGTGGTGTGAGGGGAGGTGTGAGGGGTGGTGTGAGGGGAGGTGTGAGGGGTGGTGTGAGGGGAGGTGTGAGGGGAGGTGTGAGGGGTGGTGTGAGGGGGTGGTGTGAGGGGGTGGTGTGAGGGGAGGTGAGAGGGGTGGTGAGAGGGGTGGTGTGAGGGGGTGGTGTGAGGGGTGGTGTGAGGGGAGGTGTGAGGGGTGGTGTGAGGTGTGGTGTGAGGGGGTGGTGTGAGGGGAGGTGTGAGGGGTGGTGTGAGGGGAGGTGTGAGGGGTGGTGTGAGGGGTGGTGTGAGGGGAGGTGTGAGGGGAGGTGTGAGGGGTGGTGTGAGGGGTGGTGTGAAAGGAGGTGTGAGGGTTGGTGTGAGGGGTGGTGTGAGGGGGTGGTGTGAGGGGAGGTGTGAGGGGTGGTGTGAGGGGAGGTGTGAGGGGTGGTGTGAGGGGTGGTGTGAGGGGAGGTGTGAGGGGTGGTGTGAGGGGTTGGTGTGAGGGGAGGTGTGAGGGGTGGTGTGAGGGGGTGGTGTGAGGGGTGGTGTGAGGAGAGGTGTGAGGGGGTGGGGGAGGGTGAGGGGTGGTGTGAGGGGTGGTGTGTGGGGTGGTGTGAGGGGTGGTGTGAGGGGGTGGTGTGAGGGGAGGTGTGAGGGGGTGGTGTGAGGGGGTGGTGTGAGGGGGTGGTGTGAGGGGGTGGTGTGAGGGGAGGTGTGAGGGGTGGTGTGAGGGGTGGTGTGAGGTGGTGGTGTGAGGGGTGGTGTGAGGGGTGGTGTGAGGGGGTGGTGTGAGGGGTAGTATGAGGGGTGGTGTGAGGGGAGGTGTGAGGGGAGGTGTGAGGGGTGGTGTGAGGGGAGGTGTGAGGGGTGGTGAGAGGGGTGGTGTGAGGGGTGGTGTGAGGGGAGGTGAGAGGGGAGGTGTGAGGGGTGGTGTGAGGGGAGGTGTGAGGGGTGGTGTGAGGGGAGGTGTGAGGGGTGGTGTGAGGGGTGGTGTGAGGGGTGGTGTGAGGGGAGGTGTGAGGGGTGGTGTGAGGGGTGGGGAGAGGGGAGGTGAGAGGGGAGGTGTGAGGGGAGGTGAGAGGGTTGGTGTGAGGGGAGGTGAGAAGGGTGGTGAGAAGGGTGGTGTGAGGGGGTGGTGTGAGGGGAGGTGAGAGGGGTGGTGTGAGGGGTGGTGTGAGGGGTGGTGTGAGGGGAGGTGAGAGGGGAGGTGTGAGGGGTGGTGTGTGGGGAGGTGAGAGGAGTGGTGTGAGGGGTGGTGTGAGGGGAGGTGTGAGGGGTGGGGAGAGGGGAGGTGAGAGGGGAGGTGTGAGGGGAGGTGAGAGGGGAGGTGTGAGGGGAGGTGAGAGGGGAGGTGTGAGGAGAGGTGGGTGTTTAGACAACTCGTCCTATCGAGTTGTCACAACGCCACAAAAATGATGTAGTTGATTGCTTGAACCTAGGGGAATAGAAAATAGAAAACGAATAGAAAATAGAACAGTTCACAGACTTTTTCAAGGCCTTAACTGGCTCACCATTGCTGTAGTCAACTCTGTGTTTCATAAGGAGAATGCTGCGGAGACTTGGCTAAATCTGTTGAAAGTTTAGGTATCTTTTTGTATAGTGAATATAGTGGTAATGAATAGCCTAAGAAATATCATCAACGTTATTCACTGTAATAAACGTTATAACCCTTTTGAGACGCTCAGGAAGACTTTTTTCCTCTGTAGAAAGAAAATATATATAGGAGATCAGCTCATTCAATGAGTGGGATTGTGTCGTCTGGCTCTTCTGCTACGCACTTACTATAGTCCAACCTTTTGTTGTTTTCTTCTCTACTGTGAGATAGCTCCCGGAGATACAGAAGGGAGCCCACTTCTTTATTGAGGGAGGCCAGTTTCTGGTCTCCAGTAGGCACTCGTGTTTTCATAGAACCTGGTGTGGTACCTGGGTTTGGAGGACTCCAAATGTATAGTTAGAGAAGATACAGAAGGGGCCCACCAGAAAGTGGCGTTTCATTACATTTCACACTGGATTTAGGTCCAGGTGGATGCATTCGGCCCAGCCCTCTCTTGCAAGATCTACATCCACATGTATCAGGCATTGTAGGTGGCCCAGTGTTTAATACTGTGGTTCTTGTTTTGACCAGATGTTGGTGGAAGGAAGTGTGACAGAGCTCCAGGGGGTGATGGGTCGACTCCAGGTAGTAGGAGGAGAGCAGTACTATTTCAACAGGAACCACAGCTTCCTCTACGGCGTCAGAGTCCATAGTCTGCAGCTTCAGCACATCTTCCGCTTGGGTAGGTCTCGCGGCCCTTTGACCTTCCGCCATCTTTTTCCATATATTTTATGTGTGTTAATTAGGGTTTCATATATCTTACTTGCTATATGGAATGGACTTTACACCTGTGTACGTCGAGTGTACAACTTTACTGCTGAAATATTTGTTATTTTGTTTATTTAAATAACCTTTCATTGTGTTTCAGTTGATCAAAATATTGTTAATCTATTTAAAAAGTTGACAACTTACAATGGTTTATAATGCATATTAATATTCTCAAATATATTTTGACTTCAATAATGGTACTTTTGGACTTTATTTACTGTAAAATTATTGAGAACTGGACTTAACTTGTGAATGACGAATTATAAAACATATTTTACATGAACTGTACTTTGAATTATATTTACTTTTTACTTCTAGATATAATCCATATACACATGTAAAACTTGCATTAATGTGTATGCCTATATTAAAATATATTTCTGACCAGGGGGAAAAAGACACAGGCCGAATGGGCTTAAATTTTTTATTAGTAAATTAAATTCTGCAGAACATGTAAATAATATAAGTAGGAATTAACAAATGTAACATGTCCATGTCTGAGGACTAATTAACTGAAAATGTACCCCCGTAGTAGTAAGCATAGCCTAGACATGGCAAACACGTTCTGCAGAAACCTATTGGCAGATGAAATATAATTAGAACTAGGTATAACAGTCAGGACACAAAGGGGAAATAAAGTGTATAGACACAACACTTAACGGAGCCCTACCAAGACATAATTGGAAATCCTAGAATTATTCAGGCGATGAGTTACAATAACGTGGCTGAAGTATGTTGACCAATCCACACACTAGAAAATGAAGGGACGACAACGTTTCGGTCCGTCCTGGACCATTCTCAAGTCGATTGAGCATAAATGACTAACGCTATATTATACACTACAGGTATGAGTGTGAGGTGCAGACTGAAGAAGCACAGTTCTGGGCTGTGGGGGATAGAAGGTGTGTGGGCAGGCAAGAAATATCCACAGGACCCGTGTGCTGTGTATGCTCTCCTCCGTCAGTGGTGTCTGCAGCACCACCTCTCTCACCACACTCTCCAGGCTCTGGTCAGTCACTCCGTGTCGCATTAATATTAATAATGATTGATTTATATGATATACACAGCATCACATTACAGTAGTTACTTAATATGTACAGTTTTTGTATATTTTATAAAGCCACTAATTATGTACAGTGTTTCCAGCATTACTTGACATTATAAGTGAATTGAATTTACATTTTGGGGAAAATTGCTAAAGCATGAGAAGTAAACTATAATAAAATAAATAAGCTATAATAAAATAAATAAACTATAATAAAATAAATACCTGTATGTATGAATGGTTGAAAGAAAATTGAGCAAATAAGTACTTATTAAAAGAAGGCACTAAGCTGGGAAAGCCATCACCAAGGATGCCAACACAAAGATGAACCCACACAAGGTGAGGGCGTATCAAAGATATCAGAGTCACCAAAGATATTGTTGAGTGACATTAGGAAAGCAAGACACATGAACAGCTTGAGAACTGGGACATTCTACTAGAAGGTGCACGAGTGTAAGTGGGACAATGCAGTTCGGTCAATAATAATTTATTAATTCATTTTGTTGGGGGCAGGCACCCTGTGTATATATACATGTTAGGCAAATATCAAGGATCCCCCCAAGGTGGGATTATTGACCCTCCCCAGGATGCAGCCACGTAACAAGCAGACTAACTCCTGGGAACATATTTACTGCTAGCTGAACATGGGTGATAGGAAATGCACCCAACTATTTCTGTCTCGCCTTTCATTCGAACCCAGAATTCTCAATTGTGAGTCGAGAAAGAACCTAATTGTACTACCGGGACCCTAGAAGAAGCAGGGTGATGTTGGTTTTCAACGTTGGCATACAAGCTCTAGTTAGTGGTCGAACACAAAGTACCAGAGCTGAGGCATAACCCAGGAAGGTGTTGGACGTCAAGATGATGAAGGGTTGAAGGAGAGGCAGATGAATAGCCGGGACCGCCATAATTGAGATTAAACAGAACGAGGGAGGAATTCAAATAGAGGAGCATGTGTCTATCAGCTCTCCAGGAAGTATGGAACAACACTTTAAGCAAAGTAAGGGTCTTCGAGCATTCAACTCTGAGGTGAAAGATATGGGGTGATGACAAGGCAAACGAGTATCAAAGATCAACCCCAAAAGTTTAGCAGAATCTATATACAGAAGGGGATTACCATAGTGACAAAGGAGGGACGAAGAACGACCTGCTTCCATGTAAAGTCATGGCACACGTCTTAGTTGTATAGAACCTGAAACCATGATTAGTGATCCAGAACGGCACAGTATCACACGCAAGTTGTAGCTGACACTTTTAGGGGGAGGAAAGGGGGAATCATCCCTCCGACAGTAGAGTGAGTTCATCAACATAAAGGGCAAAGAAAATGTCAGAGACAAGGAAGGAAGGAAGACCATTTAAAGCACCCATGAAAAGAGTAGTTCTAAGAACACTACCTTGGAGAACACCTTCATATTTTTTAAAAGTGTCAGAAAGATCGGCACTAAGTCTTCATTTTAAAAGAACTACGAGAGAGGAAACATTGAAAGAAGCATGGGAGATTACCACAAAGGCCAAAATAATGTAGTTCATTTAAAATATTATATCTCCAGGTGGAGTTTTCCATGTTAAAAAAGATTGGCAACCACAGAGGTCTTTGCAGCAGAGGCAGTACAAGTATTGACCTCCAAGTCCACTAATACTGTATATCAGTCGTGCTGTGGCATTTGCGAAAGCCAAACTGAGAGGGAGATAGCTACAGTGTTCTAAGAATCACATTAGATGCACACTGACCATCATTCAAAAAGTTTGCAGGCGCAACTCGTCAGGGCAGTGGGGTGAAAATCCTTAGGGAAAGTCCCTAGAGTACTGGTTTTCTGAATAGAAATAACAACTGCCTCAAGCAAGTCCTCATGGACTGAAAACGCCTCCCAATTACATTCAGGACATTCAGACATTCAGGAAATACTAAAGGAGATATGACGTAGCATCTCATGATGTATACTGTCTGAGGATGCCACCATAGAACTGCAGATGGACAGAGCAGACTTTTCCAATAGAGATAAGATATTGTTACAGTATATGGGAGCTGTAGATGAGTGGGAAAGTCCTAGGGACAAGATTCAGAAAGGGGCTTACAAGTATGGAAAGCAGGAGCACCAGATGATGAAAGATAAGCACCAGATCTAACAGTTGAAAAGTGCAAATGCAGTTTGTTCGCAACCAACTACCTGATCTACCATGACAGAACCATGGAGATCAATGACAGGCAATATGTCTGGAACAAATTTACCAGCAACATTATGGATTTTCTTTCAGATCTGAGGGTGAGGGGTATCAACCATAATGGGTGAGGGGTATCAGCCATAAATTTCCAACTCTCACACTTAGCTGCATAGATTGGTCTTAGAGACCACTGCACTCGCCTCCCGAAACAAAATAAATGAATCGGATGCCTCTCTACATCAGTGTCTTTGCCAGGCATCACATTGACAGTGTTTGCCTGAACATAGTATAAATTCCACCAGGGAATGAACTTCCATGCCACTGGAAGACTAGCAAGGAAGAGAGCGGAGGGCAGCATCTAGTAAAGTGTCGTGCAAAAGGACGGGGGTTCAAGGGAGAGGCAGATCAGAGAGGTTGGAAAAAACATAAGAATAAAGATAACTGCAAAAGTGCTGTTGGCCCATACGAGGCAGCTCCTATTTATAACCACCCAATCCCACTCATATATATGTCCAATACACGTTTGAAACAATCGAGGGACCCCACCTCCACCACGTTACGAGGTAATTGGTGCCACAAATAAGAACATAAGAAAATAGAAATAAAGATAACTGCAGAAGGCATATTGGCTCATACGAGGCAGCTCCTATTTATAACCACCCACTCCCACTCATATGCATGTCCAATACACGTTTGAAACAATCGAGGGACCCCACCTCCACCACGTTACGGGGTAATTGGTTCCACAAATCAACAACCCTGTTACTGAACCAGTATTTATCCAGGTTTTCCTAAATCTAAACTTATCCAATTTATACCCATTGTTTTGTGTTCTGTCTTGTGTTGATACTTTTAATACCCTGGTACTTTAAGAGTACTGTAGAGGTGAATAGCTCCCACTCCACATGATCAAATTGCCACCTGAGGGAATGAAAGTGGAGGGTGGAAAGAAATGGTTACAAGGACGGGGAATTAATAATAATTATACTGTAATTATAAATGGTTATTGTCGTGGAGGTCATCAAGAACACTCTATGTCAGATCTATATAAATAGAAGAGGAGCACAGAGAAAAATCAATACAGGAAAGGGTGCGAGTGCATGAGTCAACTTTAGTAGGTGTGCCGGAATTCAGGAGAGATAATGAAGACAGGACAAAAGATTCAAGGCGGCAGCCTAGCTTGGGTATTTGTCAGATCAACATTGCCTTAAAGGCCTATCAAAGGTCTTCCCATTGTTCCTAAGGATTTTTTTCCAGTCAAATTTTAAACTAATGTAATGTCTTGATATTTATGGTGTCACCGGGAAGACGATTCCATGGGTTTATTACTCCAAGGGTGAAAATGTAAAACATCTGTATTTTGTCCTAAATTGTGGCTTTCTGAGCTTGAAGCTGACATTTGTTACACTCGCCTTTTAAAGAAGTGGATTTGAATTAATATCTTTCAATTTGTTCAGTTTGGTATTGAAAAGGTCTCGATGAGATCAGCCTTGTCATGTCTAGTTTGCTGTGTTGTCAGTACTATGACAAACGTTCCTGGTACGAGAGATGACTTAGTTTGGGATGGTACCTTTCTCCAAAGCAGATATATCCTTTTCAAAGTCCGGTCTGCATGCTTGGATACAGTAGTCCAGATGGGGGTGCACCAGAGACTTGGGCAATTAAATATTGTATTCACTTTTTCCTTGAGGTCAAAGATTCTTGTGATTATTCCTAAAGTTTGATTGGCTTTTTTTACTGCAACTCCTACTCGCTAAGCAACTTTGAATGAAGGGTCCTTGCTATTATGTCATTTTCTTTGTCAATCTGTTGTATGGTTGTACTGTACTATGATTTTAGTGTTATGGCATACTGTACATGCAAGATCTTGCATTTTTTAATGTTGAAAAGCATTTGGCAGCTTTCTGACCATTTGTGGCATTCATGTAGATCTCTTTAAGACCTTAGTGAATAAAATTGGATAATTTTAGATTCACGAATTGATAAATACTGACTTTAAATATAAGTCGGTAAATGTAGGCTGTAGATAAATGGAACAAATTACCAGCAAACTTAATTGACAGGATTGCTGGATGTTGCAAGAAAAGGTAGGCATATTGCCTGAATTTATCTAAATTTACTTAAATAAAAAGTAATTCTTTTTATCCTTATGTAGTCTAGGTGACTTAGGCCATTATCTGGTGGACGTAATGGTCAAGCCCATGTAGATTAGGGTTGCTCAGCAACGATAATGATCATTTCTCTTGTTTACCTGAGGATTCTTTTCTTTCACTGAAGCAATGGAGAGAGGCTCCCTAGCCTCTCTCCCATGTGGCTCCCTAGTCACATTGAGAGAGCCAGATTCTTGTTCTTACTTCCACTATGCCAGAGTGGGTCTCAAAGACCTTGTGTAATTCTTAAGACTTGGCTCCACCAGTGTGTAAGTTCAAGATAGCTACTGAGGGTCCATCAGAAAAGAACAGTTAATTATATTCAGTGCTTGATTTTTATGAAGATGTCCTATATGAACGTTTTCAAATCTGACACATACAAGTAGGGAGCCACCGGGGCTCTACAGAAAGCGGCATTTCGTTATGTTCAACACTGATTTTGTTTTTTAATGTTATGTGTGTTTATTGTAATATGTTTTTAGCTATATATTGTCAAACCAACATTGACAAAATATTATGTTGGGTAAATTAAATATCTTTACGATATGTTTGAAAGGATACATTAGCCTGAAAGCTAAATTTATCCAAATTTATCTCCGACATTAATGTCATTTTCTTATCCAGCTGCACGAGGCTGGGCATATTGCAGATGAGTCAACATTAACATTTGGAAGCTCATCTGAAATCACGAATGATATTCCACCACAAGACTGGCTGCAGCTAAGTGAAGACTGGATGTCACCAGACCTGTTCCCTACAACAGCAGCTGTGGAGCAGAGAGACACTGTGCAGCTGTATGGAGAAGACTGGATGTCACCAGACCTGTTCCCTACAACAGCAGCTGTGGAGCAGAAAGACACTGTGCAGCTGTATGGAGAAGACTGGATGTCACCAGACCTATTCCCTACAACAGCAGCTGTGGAGCAGAGAGACACTGTGCAGCTGATGGGAGACTGGATGTCACCAGACCTGTTCCCCACAGCTGCAGCTGGGGAAGAGAAAGACACTGTAGAGCTATGACTTAATACTGTTAATTTGTTCCATGAAACTGTGTACAGTAAAAATTGGCCACATGTATACATATCTAATACTGTACTGTGTAATTCTGGTATACTATACGAGCATACTGCCAATGGTGTGCACTTTATTCATTACATCTCACTAGAAATGAGAGTTTTTGATCTGTTGGTGGAATTGTAATCTTTAATACAGTTGAATTGTAATTCACAATTTTTCCAAAAACAGTATTAGTAATTTGTTAGTACAATATTGTACAGAATACAAGTGTCATCACAGTGTATGAAATACCCACATTATCCAAATATTTTCATTTGTTAGCAAGACTTTTACTTGAAATGAGCCATAGGTATTGTGTCCATATGGAGAACTTGAACTATGACTTGAAAATTAACACTTAAAACCTAATTTCAATAATTTATAATTCATGTAGTGTATAATGTTCATGTACAATGATAATTCATGAATCCTGTTTAATTATAATTATGTATAATGAAGTTACAAAACTATTCTCCTTATATAGTTACTGGAAAATAAGTTACCAAGAGAAACTTTTTCCCATTGAAACTGGCCATATAAAATAATTGTCAAACGCATAATTTTTGTGTCAAAAAGTACTCATCTTTGTCTGGGTTCTTAGAGCTGCCCATTATTGTCACTTGCTAATTTATCAGAGCCTCATTAATATAGTCCTTCACCGAGTCTTGAGAGTGTTTTAAATAAATAATAATATATAATAAATAAATGTTTATTTAGGTAACAGTACATGTATAGATGCAAGATGAGTTACAAACAGAATGTTGGATTTCTAGATAGAGCAAGTACATACTATGTCTAAAGCCACTAATACGCACAGCGGTTCGGGCAAGGTGTGGGGAAAAACACTTAGACTACAACTTAAAACGTTCCCATTTTCTCTTTGTAAACGTGCGAGCAGGGCACCGCTCCAGTGCCAGCTAAGTCCGCTACGGGCTCACCATAGCCCGTGCTACTTGGAACTTGTTCCGAGTTGCTGAATCTATAACAACAACAACAACATTCTCTTTGTAACTTACCTGAGGCATTTATCATATGCTGTTAACAGTTTTATATATTTTTGAATTTAAGTGGCAACTGCTCCATGGCGAAGCAAAACCAGTATTGAGATTTTGCATGATGTTCAGAGTATACTACAGTATTTCCATGGTTCTTTATCAATGCCATAATGAACTGAATATGTAATTTTAATTAAAAAAAAAAGAGTTGTTATTGCACTTTAAATACAGTACTGTACTGGAAAAGTATATAATAGGACATAATCAATTGTGTGTAATTATTATTATTGTATTGATATAGAACGCATAAAGTTTCAATCCACTTTGATAATTAATGCAATCTTCTTCACACTTCAGTAATTGTTGAAAAGTTGTAATTGTTTTATTTTCAACACTGGTGTCCAGAAACCAGTGAAAAATTTATTCCTTTTACTGGGAACAGGTAGTTTGTATTTAGGCTTATCGAGATTCCCCTCGGTAATTTAAATTCAAATTCAAATTCAGATGTTTATTCAGGTAAAGTACATACATACAAGGGGTGATACAAATATTGATGAGTTTATAGATAGAGCTAGTACATACAATGCCTAAAGACACTTTTACGCACAGCGTTTCGGGCAGCCATTATAATTATATTGATATTCCCGTGATTGTGTACCTTTCTTACTGTTTGTCATCATTAATACAATAATATTATTACTTACACACAGAAAATCACACTAACTTAATATACATTATTAAAAAAATCCACTGGGCCTGTGAGGTGACAGGAACCCGCGACGAAGATGTTGCCTGCCACATACTCTATCACTGAACCACCACTGACTTGCTAAAAGTTTTACAACTGGATTTCTACTGAAATCACAAGAAGTCTGGAGGCCCCTCCTGAATTTGGGACCAGCCCCTGTATATAAGCATACCTGCTATATCAAATTTGTATTCAGAAGCTCTTTTATTATTTGTATAAATATAATATTATATATTCAAGTGTCTCTCTCACCTACAACAGTCTTTAAGTTCAGTCAAATGCTAGTATATATATTTAAAAAAAAAATGGCCAGTGACCTGGAAATATCATTAGTCCATGCCTATGGAATGAAATACCTAGACTATGGAACTCATTCCCTTATGATTTAAAAAATTGTCCAACCTATACTGTATTGAAAAGTAGACCTAAATGTACCTAATTTCATTCTCATAGTTCCCACCTTGAATAGCTACTAACTCACACTGTATCTTGTGCTACACACTCGCCCAATTTAGTACTTAAAACGTGCAACTTCATTAGTATGATCTATTCTATCAAATATAATATAGTCATTAAGTTGAATCCAAATTGTTAAATGCACCTATTATTACATCAGGATAAGGATAAATGGGGGAGACATTTGACAAGACGCTAGCTTCCTGTTATCGTCGAGGCCACTATAGAAAGAAATGGCCAATGTATGACTGGCCGTCATGTGAGGTGGGGATGTTGGATGAGCTCGTAGCTGGTTTCTAATCTACACTGTGGTCTTTCATACAGAATAGGGAAGCAGCACATTGCTGTGTATACCTAAGCTTGTTAAAAACGAAAAGAAGTAGAAACTGGTAAGAGTAATTATAACTTCGTATTGAGTTAAATAAATAAATAAATAAAATAAATAAATGTTTATTCAGGTAAGGTACATACATACAAGAGATTTTTACAAAAATTGCTAGGTTTATAGATAGAGCTAGTACACACAATGCCTAAAGCCACTATTACGCAAAGCGTTTCGGGCAGGAAAAACATTAAAGACTAAAACTTAATACTAATTGAGTTTAAAGTATAAAATGTGTTGAGAACAAATAAAAATAAGAAAGGGGGGAACATGGCTGAAAGAGCAGCACAAACATAATTAGGTCGACAAACAGCGGTGTTTAAAAAAAACAAAAAACATGGGTTGACAATACAGGGGTAAAGTAGGTTACAGGGAATTTATTAGGTAGCGCTTCGTTTTTATCTTAAATTGGTTGAGAGAGGTACAGTACAGTTAGTTTAGCTAATTTATTATGCACCCCATACCCATCCGGTGTGCGAATAATTTTGTTGACACAGTTTACATTTGGTCAGGTCTACATCAGCAGATAATGAGAATTCCCAGAGATACTTGTAACCGAGTCTAAGCCGAGCAGTAGTAACATCTAGGAGTCTGCTGATTTTATTGGATGAACCATCGTTCATCCAATAGCTCCTTTTGCATGATAGTGTAGCGAGTATAACCAATATATTCGCTCGAAACTCGTTAGCACTAATAAGTACAGCGTTTCGGGCAAGGTGTGGGAAAAAACCCACTTAGACTAAAACTAATTACTAATTAAGATCAGAGCATAAATTGAATTGAAAGGGGGGAAAAGTTGGGGGGGACATGTCAGAAATCAACAGTTATATTAGTCAGTTGTGACCGGACCACGGTCGTGTGCTATCGCAGTGTTGGCGCTCCTGGCGCCCGCTGCTTGGTGGGAGGTGGAGTATTGCCCCACACTTTTCGTTTTTGCACGTGGTGATACAGGATATTGTGAATTTGTTCTCGATTGTTGACAGTGCCAATGAGTGTCGAAGAAATGGCTGAGGCGGTATGCCTAAGTGGTAGTGAGGAGGACAGACAAGATGATAACAGACCGTTTGTAATAACAATGAACAGAAATAAACGGCGAAATATTAACAGACAGCGAGACAGTGAGAGTGACGATGAAATTACAAAGAGATAAAAAAATGAGGCCCTACTCAGCAGGACTCAAGACAAGCAATTTAATAGAAGGAAGAGGTTGCTGTTCCCTACAACATGCCAATTGAATTTTTCCCAAAAGCTGGAGTGGACGGTACGTCTGGCTAAAGAATGTTTGGAATACGAACCACTCTTCAAGGAGGGTCTTCATCGGCCCTACATAACAGTTGGGACTGAAAAGGCCGTGGAACGCCTCACGACGGTTAGTTTTGAGAATGTTATGATGTTTACTCCAGAAGAAGGTATGTTGCACACAAAGATCATAGTTTTCAACTTATTTGGATCCTGACTGTCTTCTTCTCAACAATGATAATGTTGTCTGGGCAAAGAGAAACAGTGTTCGTGGTGACAAACAAAGGTTGTTGTTGCCTTGGTAAAGGGTGAGGCGCCGGAGAAAATTTTTGTGCAAGGACTAGGCTATAGGAACGTTGCAAAATACATTGAGGAGCCCATATTATGCATGAAGTGTTCACGTTGGGGACATATGGCGTGGAAATTCCAGTTTGACCCCAGGTGTCGGTATTGTGGGAAGAAACACGACTCGCGAGAGTGTAGAGTCAAGATTGAAAGAAGTGAAAAAAATTGTCCCATTTTGTTGCAACTGTCGAGGCAGCCACAATGCTGGTTCCTATCTATGCCCCATATGAAGCCTCATCTGAAAGAGACTAGAACGGGTCCTACAAGCAGGAAAGATGTATCCTCGCAGCAAGGAAAGATTGTGCAAGAGGAACATGGAGGAAACAGTTGGAAGCCAACGACAGCCCCTATGAACAATGTGTGGGAGAAAGGGACGGAGATAATTAAGGCGAGCCTAGGAAAAGTAAGTAATGCAGTGGAAAAACAAACTTTGTGAGGACAAGGTTCAGGACAATATGGTCACCTCTGAAGTTGGTAATCAAATTTTGGAGTATCTAAAAGAACTAGATAAGAGGATTGAGGCATTGGAAAAATTGGCTATGGAGGGTAGACGGGGTGAAGATGGTGGTGAAACAGAACGTGTAATTGAAAGTAAAACAGGACGTGAAATGGAAAGTGAAACGTGCGTAGAAGAAAGTAATTATGCGCATGACGTAACGATGATAGAGGATAATCAGGAGAATACACTTTCTAGTAGTGTTAGCGGTGTTCAACCTCCTGTTGTGACAAATGTTGAAAGAAAGGTTAAAGTTAAACGGTATACAGAAATAACAAAGAAAATATATATGAATAATATTAACTTCGATGTTAGTAGTAGTTGTGCAAGTGAGGAGAAAGAAAAAATGTTACGGTGTTGGGAAGAAGTCTCTAAGGTACTCTCGTATCTCATGGAATGTGACGGACAGGGCAAAAGTAGTTTTATTATTAATCATGGATGAAAGTAGATTAAGAATATTATCTTAGAACGTTAATGGATTAAAAACTAGAGCGGTGGATGTACACTATTATACGCTTAGAGAGAATATTGACATAGTAGCACTCCAGGAAACTGGGAATAGGGATGGTAGCATTCTGAGGCTAAATGGCTTTAGAGGTTTTCACTTATATGCTGATGGAGGAACTAGGGGGGGGGGTCTCATGTTATGTCAAAAGTACCATACCTGCCGAGATAACTGGAATCCCTCAGAGATATAGAGGTATTGAAAGTATTAGCTTGCGGATACAATTAAAGGACCGAGAGTTAAATTTCATTAAACTATAATCTCTGATAGCTCCTTTGATTTAAGATACTTGCCAGATTCCTTCTTTTCTGAAGATACACTTGTGGTAGGGGATTTTAATGCCAGACATCCAGCTTTAGGATCAAGGGGTAAAGCAAATAGGAATGGTTGCAGATGGTACCAGTTTTTGCTGGAACATGAAGATGTTCAACTGCTGGGCGAGCCCTCTCCTACTCATTTGAGGGGAGGGAGATTAGATTATGCTTGTTTGATAAATGCTGAGGGCATAGAGGGGAATTGTCTTACTGTGGATGAAATGCTAAGTGATCATTTTGCATTACAAATGCAGCTTAAACTAGATAAAAAGCATGCCTGCCTTCAGAGGAAAAGGTTAAAGTTTAATGAGGGAGAATTAAGGGGTCTTGTTGGCCATATTAAGTCTTGGTATGATACTTATAAGCCAGGGTCGGCAGAAACATTTTATGAAGATTTAATTAAGGAGGTAGATGTATTTAATACTTCAGCCACGTTATTGTGACTCATCGCCTGCATATTTAATGCAACATTGAACCGGAAATCATCCCCGTGCCACCTCTTGGGTGGCTTAATCTTTATCAATCAATCGGAAAACATCTAGTATAAAAAAGCATCCCCCCAGAAAAGAAAATTATACACATGACAAGATGCTTAAGGGGTGGACATTGACAATGAGGAGAGCTCACAGGGATTGGAATAGGAATGGTAGGACTGAGGAAGGGAAGAATGCTTTACTGGTAGTTGCTAGCCTGTGTGGGGAGAAGAGAAAGGAAATTAGGAGCAAGTATTGGCAGGAGTTTGCAGAGAAAGTTGGGAGTAACAGAAACTTGAAGGAAATCTGGCAAGACGTAAATAAAATAAGGGGTAAAAAGCATAATTTTGTTGCACATCCTGACCCTCAAGGAATTGCAAATGGTCTTGTAAAACACTGAATACACAATTCCACAGTTCACCCAGTGAGCCAACTTCACGCTGACTTTGTCAGAGTCAGAGCACAGAGCACAGAGCATCACCTTCACTCACCAGACCACTCCACAAGTGATCATTTGAATTTCATCATGGAATTCCAATTGAATCGATCCAGCAATGCTGCTCAGTGTAGGAAAAGACCATCGATAATGGATACTAGTTCTGAAAGTGACGGCGAGTGGCATCACGTGAATAAGGCGAACAGGACAAGCCACTCCATGACGACCCATCGCCCATTAATCTCTCCAGCTTCTCCAGCTCTCCCAGCGCCTACGACTAGATCTACGCTTCCAATCTTCAAAGTGCAGCACACCGAAGGTAAGTCTTCCTACGCTACTGTAGTGGACCTGGAAAAAGAGTACCCCCAGCTCCAGATCAAAGCAAAACCTAATCTCAGAGGAGAATACATTCTGAGGCCTAAAGACGAATCGGCCGCTACGATTCTAAAAAATTACGCAAAATGTGAGGAACTGAAACCAGAGGATAAAATAAGTAAAATCATTGTCCTCCACTATCCTTTGCATATGGCCCCTGACCATCTCGAAAAGCTGAACTATGTGGTGTCAGCAGAGAGATTATTTTAACAG